CCCTGGCTGCTGACCTTGAGCAGCCAGTTCTCACTCCTTCTGCACAGCTTCTGCACAGACTTAAAACATTAGTACAGAACATACAAGTAAAATACTTCAACACTCTTTATGATATAAGTGAAATAAGGATAACAAAATGTGTGAGCATAATAATATGATCTCAGTGTGTAAGCATAATAATATGATTAAAGTAATATGATTAAAAGTAGAATAACTTGTACAATTAATCCAACAGCACATGAGTGATCTTCTGTAACCAGCTGATTTCTTTTTGCACCTTTATTTCAATGAAAAACAAAATACATAAAGTACTAATTTTGTTTTTCTTTAATTCTCTTAGATTAGACGTTATGTTGCTAACTGGCTGTCGTGTTTTTTCTTAACAACTCTATTTGCTTATCCATGCTTTCCGCTGTCTGCTTTTATAAAGTCGCTGATTTCATAACTGATAGTTTTGCTCTCCTTTAGGGAAAACAAGCAAACCACGCAGAGCACCTCCCACCTGATGGATACGGTGAGTATTACCAAAGGTTTTCTGTTGTTGATTCTTAAAGTATTCAAGTTGAAATAGCTTTCTCAAATTGATCTAATCCAGAGGTCTTCAACAGGGGGTCCGCGACCCCTAGGGGGTCCATGGAGGTACTGCATGGGGGTCGCAAAAGTTTTGGTTGATTAGACTTTTTCTTTAAATTACCCCTGCAATTATTTCCACTAATTGAAATGTCTTTAAATACACATTAAAATGAATTCAACACACTGTAGTAAACAGATAAATGGAGGCAGAACATGTCTTTCATCATCAATGCACACATTCAGCGACAGACAGGAGCTCTTTCAAGCTGGGCACTGTTTCATTCACAACACCTGTCCCATCAACCAGGAATCAGAATCAGAAATACTTTAATAATCCCAGGGAGAAATTACTTTTGTTACATTACTCCATCTGCAATAGAGTGATTATAGGACCAGTTTGATAAAACACAATTTCATACAGTATATATAATTAGGGGGTCCCCGATCCATCTAGCCAACAGTTTGGGGGTCCTTAGCCTGAAAAACGTTGAAGACCCCTGAAAATCCCATAGTTGTTTTACTTCACAAAGTGTAAATATTTATCATAACTTGTCTAGTTACGTTCACTGAGAATATCTACCTGCCTGCACACTATTAATATATAGAGAGAACATAGACAAGAACAACAAACATGTAATTAGATGATCTCCCTCTAAATGAACATGGCACAGGCAGCCTAGATGGATCAACCCCAGCCTGAGGCTGCTGACACCATCAGAGCGAAGCAGCCAACAACAGAATAATCTTTAGGAGGGAAACACTATTAGTTTGTGCCAGAAAGCTTGGTTTGTATTTCTAAAAAGCTTAATTTATGGAGGAATTATAGCATTTTTATGTAGGAGTGAAGTTAGGAATTTGGCAGGTCATATCGTGTTAAGGTGTAGAATATATACAATTATTGATCTGTATTTGCTACCAGTCCAGTCGTTTGGTCCCTCAATTCACATAATTATGGCTCAGTCTGTTCATCCATCCCTCATTTTTGTTTATTCATGCATTTTTCTGTGAATTCATCATCCTTCTGTTTATCTATCCCTTCATTCTACCAATTTCTCCCTTTGTCGGTCCACTCCTCTGTTCGCTTTTTTTGTTTTTTTTTATTTTACGTTTGACAGAAATGTTTCCAATACATTTGTGATATTTCTTCATTTATAATTATAATCCAAAGATATTGTTGTTTTTCTTTTTTAATTTGCATTGTCAATCTTTCTCATTATAGTGCAATCCAGCCCTGCGGTTTTGATGGGAAATCCAATCCGGGCCTTCACACCACCTTTGGGTGCTGCACCAGCTGGCATAGGGAAGTCGCCCAGCCCTGTGCAGCGGATCGATCCTCACACAGGGGCCAGCATCCTCTATGTCCCTGCGGTGTATGGAGGAAACATGGTGATGTCTATGCCTCTCCCAGTAAGTTCCTCATTTATGTACAATGACCCTGAATAGGAGGTCAGTTCAGGAAAACAGATGATAGAGATGATAGTGATGTCACCATAACAACCACCCTGTTTCTGTGTAAAGCCTACCAGAGACCAACCTCATAGGTTTTTGACTTAGTTTTGTTTTTCTAAGTTGCCCTGGCCAGGTTATCAGAACCGCTTTGCCGTGGATCCTCGCATCATGAGCCACCCAGCCGCCATGGCCTACAACTTAAACCTGCTTCAGCCACAGAATCGAGGCTCCCCCATCCCTTATAGCGGCGTGGCCCACCCCTCTCCTTTAGGAATGGCCCAGCCCAGCCCAGAGAAGGACCTGCAGGCTGACCTCACCAGAAATGGTTTCCTTTTTTCTTTACTGGAATATGCAGTTACAAATAACTGTTAAATCTAAAATGCTTGTAAGCAAGTTGTTTTAAGTGGTTTTTGTTGTGACTTTTAGGTAAAGTTGATGGATGCACAAAAGCTGAACAGACCCGTCTTCAGACACCAGAAAGAAAAAACACAGACTTAAGGGAAAAACAGGCAGGTTTTTTCATGAGCTAATACATCTTTGTTTAGTTGAAATAACTGAAAACACCTTTATTGGATGTTATCAATAACTTTAAAGTAATTGTGGGGTTTTTTTTGCAGGGAGATTTAGACACAGGTCAAAGTCGGAGTTTAGATTCCCAAACAGAGCTGGTTGGATTTCCCAATGCTATGCTTCATCGAAAAGACCCCTCGGCGGCACAGAGATCCCTAAACTACCACCTGGCTCCACCCAGCCCTGCTTTTCCTCCACATCACGGCAGTGGAAGAAGCTTCCCCCAGCAGTATCCTGTTCCCAGACTCCCTTATCGGGTCAATCAGCCCCCCCATCCAGGAATACCGCAACAGAATCAGCAACAACAGCTCAGTCCTGCCTTCGCTGGCGGAAGCCACGCTTCCTTCTTCAGCGGCAACATACCCGCTCACAGATCTGTACAATCACCCACTGTGGACGGGACAGATGGGTCTTCAGGGGTGGAGGAGATGAGCAGCGCCATCAGGACTCATATGGGCCACCCAGGGGGGCAACACCCAGGCCTGCCACAGCACAACCGAGTCAGCAACTTTGGGGAGGATGGCCAGGATGGAAATCTGGTAGACAGTTTAGGTGGGTTTTTATTATTGTTTGTTTCGGTGAGAAAATTCAGAATTCATATACTTCCATATTGTTTAATTCTTAATATTATATGTTAACAGTTTTATAGCTTTAAACACTGGATGCAGCAGTGCTTTGCTTGAATCTCAAACAACCTTGAAAACTATATATGCACCAGTTGATCTGAAGGAAAAACGTATTTCATCATTTTTAGATTTTCCATTAAAGCTTTAAAGTTGTAGGGAAATCATATTTAGATATCAAATCATTCTGGCTTAAACATCTATATAAATGTACTCTTTATCAGATGATTTTTTTGCAAATTTTAGAAAATTTCTATTAAAAAAAAAATCCTGTCTTAAAATCAGTGCGGTTTTTTTTCCCGTTATCTTATGCAGGCCAGTTAGTTACACATCAGCCTGAACACCTACATTCGGCCAATCATATATCAAAGGTCATCTGTCAATCACAAAAAAGTATGATGCATTAGCCTTATCCACAACTTCCAACATAAAACTCCCCTCCTCTTGCATGTTTCCTCTGTCCATAGCGTTCCTTGACAGTGTCGTTTCTAAGTCACCAATTTAGTGCTACTTTGTCCCAATGGAATTTCCCATTGGGAACCTACTAGCACTAAGTTGCTAACTGGTTAGCAACATGCTTCCGCCCACCATCAAACTTGCTTGCGAACCTTCCACCAAAACAACCCTGCCCCCTTGATAAATGACCAATCACATTCACTTTATTCACTCGTGTAAAGTCGTTTGTAATTTTTCTCTTTTTCTCTACAAAAAGATGAGAAAAGTGTAACTTTCAAGGAGAACATAAAGCTTTTTATAGTAAAAAGAAAAAAAAAAAACAGCAGTAAATATAGATCAATTCGCAGAGGGCAGGGCGTTTAACATTTTTGAACTTTTTTCATTGGCTTCCTTTGCCACAAATGATTCAAGTTTTCTTCTGCTTCTATTTTATTTGAAACATTTATTTTTATTTCTAAAAAAGTTGAATTGTTTACTTTAACCTTTTCTTTTTTTATTCATGTGAATAAAAATAAGCTTAAGTAGTTAAATTCCTTCCAAATATCTTTGATTGTTTTGATTTTTATTAATTGTCATGATAATAGAATATTTCTAAAATAATGGGTATTTGCTTCTCTACCATATTTTATCACACTATTTTAACAAATATCTGTGGATCTGAGATAAATTAAGACAAAGTGGTGCGTAATAGAAAAGTGGAAGGAAAACCAAACTTGGTTTTCAGCTTTCGTCGGCGTTAAGATCAGATGAGCTGGTTAACATTAATTTACATGTTATCATTTTGATTAGGCTTTTATCATTTGCTATTTGAAATGAGAATAAATAAATATAGCAAATTAATTATTTAAATTCATTTGAGTTGCTGCATTTTAAAGGACTGTATTGACTAATCACACTTTTACCCTTTCAGACCTCCAGAGTCCCCTGGCTTTGGAAGCCCTTAGCCAGCAGCAGCAGCAGGCGGCCAGACTGGGCCAATGGGGGGAAGCAACAGGCCCTTTCCTTCAGGGCGGCGTTGCCTTTCCTCTACCCCATCATCTCGCCCCCTTCGCTCAACCTGGCATGGCTCGCTTTCCTCCTCAACTGCTCCGGGCTGCAACCTGGGGGCTTGGTGCCAATATGGAGGAGGAAGCCGTTCCTTCTGCCACTGCAGGCCCATCGTGCAACAGGTTAGATTAGACATTATCAGTTGGTGTGGTAGAAACATGTTAAAGTTGCAATACCATTTATAATTTGGTATTTCCCCTGAAACCAGATTTCAAATAAAAATTACCGCCTATGTTTTGTCTTTAAGGTATCCTGGCCTTTTGAGAGATATTCACCCTCAGGAGCAGCCAGAACACAGGGAAGCAACAGAAGTTCAACCGCCGCCTCAGTCCCGCCTGCTCCAGTATCGACAGTCCCAGTCCCGTGCCTCTGGTGACCCTTCATCCTCTTTGGCCCCCCTCTCCAATCACACTGGCCCCTTTCCTTCAGGACTGTACTCCCACGAAACCAATCGGAATCTTCTGAATGAAAATATTCTCAACAATCAAGCTCTGCAGCAACAGCACCCAGGCAACCCCCTGTACAACACCAGTAGCTACCCAAACCAACCACCAGCTCAGTCGGCCAGTCCTCCCCCATCCCACGTCAAATATCTTCTACAAGAAGCCCAGTGGTCCCACAGTGGACCTGCTTCTGCGTCACAGCAGAACCACCTTTTAGGGAACCAGAACCATAGCCTTCTATATGGGCTGCCCATCGTGGCTCACCACAGCAGGCAGGAGCAAGTGCTGATGCAACTTCACCAGCAGCAGCAGCAGCAACAGCAGCAGCAGCAGCAACAAAATCAAGGCCCAGACTCTGAGTCCTACCATCCACTGTCCCCTAGAACATCAGCAGCCACAGCTCTGCACAGTGTAGACGAGGTAGGCCTCCATTAATCAATCACTTTATGACATGACGCAGAGTGGCAAGCATGTCAGGCTATATTAACATCTATAGGGTTTTTAATCACCACCCACATCACAACAGTGTGCCAGATTTTGGGGCAAAGTTTAAGGAATTAGAAGGCAGTAATCTGTTGCCCTCAATCCATAAGATTTTTTTTTTATTATTTTAACCATAAAATATTTATTAGGCTAATTGCTGTAACAGTCAAAATAATCATTGAATTTTTACTTGTGGTGGTGGGCAGGCTTTGATGAGCAGCTTTAGAATAATAGATCACTACTTTTCTCTCGCCGATGGTTGGACAAATTCACTGTCCTTTTGAGAGGAGAGCTCTTGCAAAGCAATCAAACTGCTGGTCTAGTGACCATTGTGGATCCCAACCTTTCAAGGTGCATTGTGGGAAATTTCTAGTCCTCTTCTTTTTTCATCCACTAGACATTCGGACACTCATTTAAAATGGCGTAACCACTATATAGTGCCCTCTAGAGTGATTAGGGACGACGTTTGGATGCAGCCACAGTATCAGAATATCAAGTTTTTATCTAGGGTTATATTATACTTTTACTTTGGTTGATAAGCTTATCTTTAATATTTATATTTAAAAAAATGTATTATTCTTTTATGGAGCCATTTTTTTTAATGCTGCATGACTGAATTCCAGATAAAATGTAGGATGTTGATGTTTTGTTTCACCGAGTCTCCTCTCCCTCATGTTTAAAGGTACAGACAGTTGAGTATAATTTTGTCTCCTTATCGTCCTTCCTTTCCTTGTTGCACAGTATGAACCGAGAGGTCCAGGCCGGCCCCTCTATCAGCGCCGCATCTCCTCCAGCTACCCAGATGAATCATCGCCAGCCAACAGCCTCAGTGCCCACCCCTGCCCGCCGGAGCCCCAGAACCATCCCCAAATCCAGCATCAACAGCTCCCGCAGGGCCCGTACGGCTACGTGTCCCATGACCACCTCTGGCCAAGTAACGGTGAGGGTCCGGGTCCATTTCAGAACATTCCATGTAACGGAGCCACACTAGTTCAGCATCGGGACCTTCTAGGTAGGTATTGATTGATTGGAGTTTCTCCCTGTGCTCCTGATTTCTTTTATGCATCGTTTAATTTCTCGCCTGCAGCTTCCAAGGTCCATCGTCAGGCAGATGATGGGGCCAAAGTCGAGCCTGCAGCCGCTCAGCAGGCACACCCACACAGCCTCAACTCCCTTCAGCACCAGTTTCCCCCACTTCTGTCCAATAAGAAGCAGCAGCCGCCCCCACCGCCGCCGCCACCACCACAGCCTCCAACAGACCCCAGCCAGGGGGCTCCAAATCTAACAAAGCCACCTACGATGTCGTACGCGAGCGCCCTCCGAGCCCCCCCAAAACCAAGAGCCGTTCGACCCGAGCAGGCGAAGAAGAACAGCGACCCGCTCTCCCTTCTCCAGGAGCTGAATATCGGAAGCTCAAACGGTAGCAACGGTTATTATTCCTACTTTAAATGAGCGTCACGTCTCGCTTTTAGTAAGGAACGCAAACAAAAACAGAAAAAAAAGACTAAAAAAAGGTAAAAAGTTTCTGAAAATAATAAAAAAAAAATAGTTAAAGTGCATTTAAAAAATATTTCTTATAGTAGATTTAGAATTTTTTAATTTCTTTTCTCATTTTAACTCTTTGTTGCTTTTTTCCTCCTGACATATCTGTGAAGAAAGTCAGTGTATATATATAGCAAATGCATTACTGGTATATATATATACATACTCATTATGTATATATGAATATATACTTATATTATCTACACTTGTACATGTACGTAATGCTTAAAAAAGATAAAATACAAAAAAAATTAAATAAAATAAAAGATTAAAAATAAAAACCTTGGTTGACCACTTAGTTCTCTGCTTAGTTGTTCTGCTTCACTTGGTCTCTATAGATAAAAACTAACTCATTACCTGTTTTTATTTTTCCTTATACAAACATTTAGGTTTTTTTATGTAAACATTTAACAGTTAACACTTTTGCATTTGTTGTAATGCATGAAAGCTAAGTGGTCGACCGAGGGGAAGTGAAAGAAACAGTGTATAGAAGTAGATACCTTTTCCTCTAATCTGTACAGACAGAAAATAAAAGACTGAACTTTAATTCACTCAAATCCTGTTAGTATTTGCAGTATGATTTATTTTTTTGTTTTTTCTGTTTCACCTTTTTCTTTTTAGTCATCATTACCTTAATTAACCTTTTGTGATTTAGTGATAAATGTGATTATTTATAGAAAAAAAATTAAAAAAAATAATACACTTTCACCAGGATCTTGTCAGGAGGAGTACAGGGTGAACGTTTTTCATTCCTCTGTCGGCGATATGAACCTCTCTGCTTCCTTTTAGTTTCACTTTTTAAGGCAGATTTAACTATAACATTACTTTAATGCCTGGAGATTCTTATTTTTATTCTTTTTAAAGCCAATTTTTAATGTAGAGCTTGTCCCTGCGATGTTTTGTCCATTCGGTTCTTTAAGTGTGCAGCGATCTGATGGTCTGTGTAGGTGAACAGAGGGCTGTGGAGGTCTGAGTGATGTCAGAACTACAGTGAGGTTTAACTTCCAGTCAGATGTTTTTGAACAAACACTCAAAGCATGAAATGAGGAGAAATGAGAAATACTGCAAAATAAATTTGAGGAAATGTTTATCACTGATATCATCTTTTCACACTTTCACACTGTTACAGTTTTTAACCTCTTTTAACATTTTTAATTATAATCAGTTACTTTAAACAGAATTTACACAGAAATAAAATGAGGTTTTTATGCATCCATGTTATACATTGAATTTTTAAATAGAAAAAGATTTAAAAAATAGAAAGATTTTCCATTTTAAAAGTTTTTTTTAAGTAGAGAACAACAATCATTCAGTTTGGTATATAGACAGTTTCCAGTTTCACTTATTTTATAAAACACATGAACTGAGTTTTTTTTTTTTATGCTTGAATTAGAGCAGTGGGCTTTATGCTGCCCTGCAAGGCTTTGAACCTGGGTTTAAATGCAGACAAAGCCATTCTCAACACATATCAAGGTGCTCGTTATGAGCCTGGATCCATATTTTGTTTTGATTCTGTTCATGTTGGAGAATCCTGCTTCACAGCAGCCGGTTGAGCCAAACATACTCTAAATGTTCAGTAATTTATAAATGTTTCAAATCAAGTTGAATCCGGATTATCCAGCAGGTGGGTCTGGATTAGCGGATCGTTGTCCGTTAATCCGTGACCTCTGATTTAAAGGCAGAAACAAAAAATTTTTTAGGCATAAATATCTTAGTATTGTTTTAAACCATCATGGTCGATTACCATGGTTTTTATGTCTCATTGCACAACAATTCAAAATGGAAATGTTCACTAAAATATAATTATCTATCAATCTGTTGATATTTAAAACAAACTGCTGCAGTTTAATAATGGTTAAAGTTCAATAAACCTGCATAAGACTGGCATCTGCTAAATTTATTGCTAGTTTTTAAATATATTTCTAAATTACAGACTGTTTTAATGCTAATTTTGTGTCCAGAGGAAAACCCATCAAAGAACAGGTTAATGAGTGCTTTGGTAGAGCAGCTGATGAGGAATTAGTTAGGAGCTCAGCTTTACTTTAGCTTTAACTGGTTTATACATGATTGATGAGCAGTAATAAGCCTTGTTTGAGCTTTATGCTAGCTCCAAAATTATTCCAACAATTTTTTTTTTACCTCTAAATGCTGACTAGAAGGCTTATAGTTAGGAATATTTCAAAGGGTGTACACCTTGGTGTATCACATCTAATCTTTAGGCTTTGCGTGGTGCAGCTAACTTTTTGTCTTTGTTAAAACACTACTTATGTCCTCATTATGGGAAGTATGTGTGTTTGACTAGAGGTGGAAATTTCATAAGGAGGAAATGAGATTACTTTTAGGTACAAATTTATGTTTCATTGCTTAATTCAAACAGTCAGAAAGTGTAATGCCATGTTAACATTGCGATTTGAGCAGCAAAAAAGCTTCTGCTGCCTAATTTTTGATGCTTGTTCACATTAAGGTCGGTCACGCCTCAAAAGCTTCTTTTGACACTCCTGAAGCGCATCCAGTAAAGTGTGAATAGATGCGTCTGATGCTTCTTCTGTCCCTCTGTTCAGTGGCAGAGAGCGGCTTTGCTATATTGGCTGTGATCAGTGGGTAAAAAGTAGTTTTAATATGTTTTTAAGTGAGAAAGTCCCCGCTGTCACTGGGGATCCCCAGCAGCAGCTGCCTCAGGCTGGAAGTAGATGTTTTTCACATATGTAATCCAAACTGCAGGCACCAGAATAATAAAAGCCAACATATTTTGCCGACAGGTTTCAACATTTTAAGTTAATTTAGGCGTTAATAAACTGTTTCAGGGGAGTGATCATAGCTCTCTGCATCAGCAGCGCTGTGTCTGTCTCCCTGCCAGCTCCCAGATCAGCTTCTCTGATTGATGTGGCTCATCCAGCAGAAGCAGTTCAAATTTTTCCAACTCAAGCATCTGCTGCTTGTGAAAATTAAAAAATTTGACTGAAGTTTTCAGGGAAAAACAGGTTAATTTATCATTCTTTGTACAGCCCTATAGAAAATATGCATTGGTAGCTGAAAGCCTGCCATAAAGTAGTGAATTATTTGGCAAAGAATCCCGATTCATTGTTATATCTTTTAGTCTCTTTAATTTGCTTTTCAAGCTTTAGTTTTCTTTTCACTGTAGTTTAAAGAACATTTCCATTAACCCTATAATAGAAACAGTTAAAAAAAAAAAAAAACAGAAGTTTGTTCAAAAACTTTTGACTGGTGGTCTGTTTGTTTTTAGGGTCTCTATCGAATGGAAATGTTATGGAAGTTATGGTTGAAAATGAAAAAACAAAACAAAAACAAAATAACAAGATGGTTCCCTTCTTGGCTTAATCAGATTAGTAAATCACAGCTGCAGATTTTCTGTTGAATATTACTTAGACCCTGCTTTGTTCTCGCTAACGCTCATTGCAACCATTTAAGTGTCTGTTTCAAATTTGAGTTGTTTGACCTTTAAAGAAATCTATTGGCTGTTATCATGGCTTTATTGTTGCAGTGAGTCTTTAATGCATTTCTTGGAAACTTGCAGCTAAAATCGAAGATAATTTGGACGGTGAATCTTGAACTCCATTTTTATTTTTAAGTTTTCACGTTTTAAATGACAAGGTCCTGATTTTTGATTTAGCTGATCAACACGTAACTGTAAATATACATTTTCTATGTATTTACAAATAAGAACTTTGGGATCACCTTCGATTTTGTAGAAGCTGATCGAGGAGGTATGCCCTTTTTAATTATGCAAATTCACAAAAAATAAAAAAAATAAAAATGAAATCAAGAAATGGACAACAACCTGACTGTAGTTGCATTGTCAACTTTTTAGATTTTCCTTTAGTTTATTTTCTATAAGAGAAGAGGTCTGGCTTGTTTAGCAGTGGAGAATATCTGTTGCACCGTTTGAAGACAACCTAATTTACTGTACAATATGTATTTTTAAGAACACATTGCTGGATTTGTCCTGTTTTCTCACCACAGCTGTGCAACAATCAACACACGGAATTGTTTTTTTTTTTTTGTTTAGTCTGTTTTTTTTTTCTTCTTCTTTTGCATGTTTGGATGACCTTGTTGGGTTTTGATCCCTGTTTTTATCAGTTTGTAATGATTTATGGATGAAAAACAGAAAAGAAAAGAAAAACACTTGTTCAACCTGAGGAGTTCAATTTTGGTATTTTGTTTGATGTGTACAATAACTTGTGACATAATACATAGAACTGTTACTTTTACTAATATGTCGATCAAAAATGTAATGGTTGTATAGGTTTCCCCTTCCTTCTTTTCCTGCAGTTAGAAGGGTTAAAGCTGAGGTTGCTCCCTGGGGATTGTATTGTTTGGGTTTTTTTTCCCACACAGCAGTCGTTGGCTAATCTCTAAAGTTGTGCAATACTAATATTTCACCGCTTCTTTAGCTACAGTCCTATTTATTAAGACAGAAGAGATTGAGCCAAAGACATTTTAAAGGGATTTTATTCAGTTTTTTTATTTCAGTTTTTTTCTCCGTTTAATTTCTAAAATTTTATTTCTGTACCCTGCATATACCTCATCAAAACAATAATAATGAAGTATCTGAGTTGGGTTTGAAAGCTTCTGACATCACTCCGTATTTCATTGCTAAATGGAAGTGAAACCAGCTATAGGGTGTGGCACACCGTAGAATAAAAGGTAAGGGAGCAACCTTTTGCCCGGCCAGCAGAGAGCACTGTGTTCCTCCTTCTGTAAGCACCATCTTCTCCTCTGATGGCCTCCTCTTTTCTACCCCTGCTGCAGTGAATCAATGGCACACCTGTTCTCCCTGCTTCCCACTCCCATCGGTTTCTCCCTCGTGGATTCAAAGTAATGAATATTCATTTCAACTGGTGGTTGTTATAAGAACTGATTTAGGCTGTGTTTTAAAGGTTTTATTTTCTTTTTTTAATTGTTTCTCTATTAAAGTGTTTTTATTGAAACTGTTTTGAGTTTTCTTGCTGAACAGAGCATCATAAAGACGTGCTTGTATTGCATAACAGGGACTTGCTAGTCATGAAGCAATGTAGGGGACATACAATCAAATGGACCCTTTCATAATAGAGCTTTAAATAAATAAAAATCTATTTAGAATAGATAAAATAATTTATCACCTTACTGTATTTATAATCTGAACTGGCTTTTAATCTGTTTGCGAAACAATATTATTTTGGCTTAATTTCTCTAGCAGCCCTCAGGCTACTAAGCTTTTCTGGATCAATGCCAGTTTTTTCCTTTTTAAATTATGAGTTACTTAAAAAAAAACAAAAAACAAGGAAGTATTTTTGTTTCCTTTTTTGAAAGCCATGCCAAATTTTTCTCTCGTTTTCTTTAAAAGGAAACACTTTTGCGCCACAAGAATAAAAAGTCTACATTCTTTGTGTGGGGAAATAAATGTAAATACTATCATTATCCAGCCTTAAAGCACATAGGAAGCAAGACAAAATAAAGGAATAGAAATCAAATAGTTCTACTATAAGGGAGCATATCTCTGAAAAATAAAACAAAAAACCACTGCCGCTGTTGTCATACTGTTATATAATAATGAATATTGTTGCTTTTCTACAAAAATCTAAATAAAATACTGCATGTTTAGTGAGGCTACAACCTATGCTGACTCTGCATGGGAGTTCTGATTAAATATTTTTCTTTTGCTGTGTTGAGTAAAATAATAAAGCTACATGAATCTTTGTTTATTCACAACTTAAGTTTAAAAAGATAAAAACCAAGAGACTTTAAGTCTCATTTATTAACAGAGACATATTCAAACCAATATAGGATATGAAATGGCTGGAGAAATTGAGGATCATTAGGATTAAAGCATCAAGAATAATAAGTACAGTATCTATACTATATTAGACAGACTGGAAGTTGGATTTTATTTGATTCATTTATAGATGTGGGTACGTTTTTTAGCTTGAACTTAAATTAACAGCATCAAGTTATCATCTCAAAATTTGAAAGGTGAACCAAAGAGAGTAACTTTTTAAGACTTTAATTTCAATGGGCTGTTTACAAAGTTAAAATGGTCTCAATAACATTAGAAATATAAAAAGCAATTTTTTTTTTTTTACAATGTTCTGTAACCTGGAGCTAATTAAATAGTAAACAAACTTTTTCCTCATTTGTTCCCAAAATCAATATATAAAAAAGAGATAAAAAAATCCAATATTTTTATTTGATATCAAACAGACGTATGTTTTTATACCTTCTCAACACTCAACCAAAGATGCAATGGTTTAAAGAGGTAAAAACTACCCAGTGTTTTATAAAAAGGAGATCTTTACATCACTATAGATCTGAAACATAGAAAGGTTTCCCAGTCCTGCCCAATCATAAAAAAGATCAGGTGAAATACACTAATAGGTTTGGAGGGTTTCATTATTTGAATGTTCTTTGTCCAAAATAGCTTTTTCCTATTATTTTAAATGAGAATTTCCTTGGTTAAGGATAGCCTTTGAAGACATGTAGCTGAATATAATGAATGGCTGCGATGTTCATTAAGCTTTCTGGCTCTATTCCAAAAAAGTAAAAAATTGGACTTTGTTTTCCAAGTTTGAAGATGTTTCGCTTCCCATCCAGGAAGCTTTTTAAATTCAAAATGTCTGGATTAGCGTTGGGTTCCAGGCTTTATAGAGTGGAACAACAAGGCCTTGTTATGGCTTAGAAAACGAGCAAATTGAACCGAAAGAACAGGTCTGCCCCTTATAATGGGGAGTCGTTGGGTTCTTCATTAACCTGCAATACCTGATACTGGCCTATGCTTCTGAAAAGGGTTAGGGTCATTGTTGGCCTGGCTGACCAGGTGAGATGTCTTGGTTCCCTGCGTCGGGGGGTGGGGGGTGAGAATCAATTCTATCGCTGCATTGTAGGTTTTTGATAGCTGAGTCCCCCCCCCCCCCCCCTTGTTTAAGGCTTCCTTCATACCCCTTACAAACAAGCTGTCTTCTTTGTCCAAAATGTGAACATTCTTGTCCTCAAACGAATGTCCTTTGTCCTTAAGTTGTAGTTGGACACCTTTCTGGCTCTATTTACCGTGAATCTCAAAGGAGAGGTAAAATAAAATGTTTTTACCCAATTTTTCTTTTTCAGGAAGATTTTAAATTGCTTTTGAACTGGTAAAGACTTTTTTTTTCTGAATATCTACCACCTTTGCTGGCAAGCAATTTAACACCAATCTTGAAGTACACTATAATTTTAAATGTTTAGTCAACTTTAGGTAAGAGAAGATGGATTGGATGGTTTTTAGAACTGAAATTATAATTTCTTCTGTTAAATGTGGATTTATTTACACCTTTACAAAGTCGCGGGCAGTCTCACCTAATAAAAACATGTTCTGTTTTGATCCTTAGAATTTCCTGATTTATTTTCTTTTTTCATTCTTTTCTTAAACAGGACTATTTTTGACCTCTTAATCTGGACCTTTAGGCTCTATGTTAGAGGTAAACTGAACCTAAGACTCTAATTGAAGTTGATAAACATCCCCACAATGAGTCTTAAACTCATATAAACACAAAGTGATTCCAGAATTTTTTTTTTCCATTTTTTTCTTTATTTTCTTTATAAACTTGTAAGAAATAATCAACTCCATTCCAAAGCTCATTTCACAGCATGCTAAATATGGTGAACAAAAAGGAACTAATTAAACATTACATCAACATTTGCCCTAAGTTTTAATTAATTGGTTTTATAACACAGAAGCAGAAAGAGTTTTAAGGCATGCTATGAATATTCCATTGTATCCACCCTATTACCAGCTACTGTATGTTGTTTAAATTGTTAAAAGAGCAAAATTGAAAACATTTTCTTGATAAATAACACTACTTATTTGCCCTGAGCAAGATTGAGAAATTGCTTATATGAACTCAATATAATCTGGTCAGACATTACAGATCAGGTTCCATTAACTGTCACACTGTTCACCTTTTAAGATTAGCAACCAGTTTCAGTGTAAAGTGAAGCGAAATCAAAAGAGACACAAAGGCTTTTTCAGTCACATCATACTGGAACAGGCATTGTTTAGTTACATTCCTTTAATATCATGTAAAAACTTTTCTATTTATAAAAAAATCTATTCATTTCGTTGTTTTTTTCTTTGCAGCACCATTACCAATGTATTTTCCTATAGTTTACACAGGCAACAAGAAATATATATATTATGAAATGTATTTTAAACTAAGGCTCTCTAAATTCACTGATTTCATTATCTTTAGAAAACTGATGACATAAAAGTATTAGATTATCAGAACGATGGGGCGTGCTTTGGTGGTGCAGTGGCACACGACACATTTATGCGGAGGCCTTAGTCCTCGATGTGGGCGAGCCGTATAAAGGCAACATGTATAAAGAGTTTAAATCTGCAAAAAAGGGGAATAATTATAGAACCAGAGCAGTTTGCTCTTTGTGAATGAAAAGATGTAATCAACAGTTTCAGTTGTACAGCTTGAACCGGCCATTTTAAAGACTTGATTACTCAAAAGTGGCCTGATCAGGCAAAACAAGAGAAAGGAAAACTATTAATAAGATGTATGATGGTGTAATTTATTTAATAGGTTTTTATTTCTTTCGACAGTAAGATGACAGGAAAGGGGTATGAGAGAGGCGGAGAGACATGCGGGAAAGGACCACAGGCCAGATTCGAACCCGGGTTGCCCGGGTTATACAATACATTAGGTTGTTTGCACACCCCACTATATTATATCAAAATTACACATCATACATCTTATTAGTAGTTTTCTTTTGTTTTTTTTGTTAAAAAACTCCTGATTTCTTAGCCAAACAGCTACTCTGTTTATGACCTTAGGTGGATTAATGCTCTCATTAATCATTTGCATTTTGTCAGCCAGTAATAGAATAAACATTTTGGCCGGGTTGCCAGTTGAGCCACAGCATGAGGTAAGGCATAGTCTTTTGCGCTTTCAGGCTCCTAAATGTTGAAACAAACTAGGCAAACATGACTTCATTTAGCTTATAAAACAGTACTCACATCAACCTTTTTTTTCCTCTTAATAATCATTGACATAAAACTAAGATAAACTATTGATCTTTAATTTTGTCTTTAACAAAAACTCGCTGTGGTATAAAGGGTTTCTACAATAGAAAGAAAGATTTGGGAGTGGTGGCCTGAAGGTTAGGGCATTGCGTTTGGGTCCCAGAGGTTCTGATCTCAGGATCCACTCCCACGGACTGCCACTCAGGGTCCCTGAGCAAGACCATTAACCCCACACTGCTCCCCAGGCGCCACAAAATGGCAGCCCACTGCTCCCCAAGGGGACGGGTTAAATGCAAAGAGTTTATTTTGTTGCTTTGTACTTGTGACAGTGTAATGACAATGAAGTTCAATTTTTTATTCTTTTTTTTAATTATTAAAATAATTTCCCTGAACCTCACCTCAAAGTATCCCTTTAAAGGACCAGGTGGCGGTTCTTCTTTTTCTGCATGTAGGACTATAGAAGGATAACAGGCCATGATTATCTGGGTCATAATTAGTCTGTTTTGTTTTTTAACAGAAATAGTTTTTCCATAAATGTGAATAAATGCTTTCTAAATTTAAAAAGGTTCATCATAGACCTTTCTGTGTTTCAACAGAGACATTTGGTAGCAGTAGACAAGTAAAAGGCCTTGTATATAGGCAGTGCACCTGCTAAAACTGAACCTTTTCCAACATGATTGGTGCTCCAGACTGTCGGGGTGTTTAACATTCAGTCTGCAGACACACTCAAAAACTTCCTCTTAGTGCCCTTTTTTTCTACATCCTTTATCTACAGCTTCTTTTAATAATGCTTGGGATGTTTATTTGACTTTGTCTGTGACTAATCCCTTGAGTGATGCCATTTGAAATTTATTAAACCTAATTGTCTATTTATGATTTGGTGCTGAAGCTCTCATTTACTTTGACTTTAAGCTGCTATTCATCTTATTCTAAAAGCCTTAAGGCAATTTTTCACTAAACGTAGATGACAATGATACATGGGAGTCTAAGTAAGACAGGAAGGCAGTGAATGATGAGCTTTATACAAAAGGCCAGCATATAAAATATGTTTTCAGTTGTTTTCACTCAGATTGAACATAAAAGAACAGAGAAAAAAAAAACACATTAACCCCCACACCAAAGACCAGTTCAACTGCTGTTTGAAAAGATGACTGATCCCAAACACAAGAAACATGTTTTTCTCTTTGCTAAAAAAAAAAAAAGGAGAATGAAACTTCTAATCTCAAAATAAGTCTAGTGTTTCAAACAAAACATTATACTGATTGGTGGATGAATTTCACCATCTAACATCACTCTGCTTGCTCTGGCTCGGCGTCCATGCATGTCTCCCAAGGATTTCTTGGCATCTGAGGCATAGAGAGGATGAGGAGTGCAATGCCAGCGAGAAAGAGGAGGACAAAGCCGGAGCAGGCACAAGCGAAGGACCAGGCGTAGTAGTACTCAATCCAGATAGTGTCCTCGCTCTCAATCATGCGTTTCACTGACTGACGCATCACCTCCAGTGAGATGAAGGCACAAATACCTGAAAAAGGAGGCTTTATGTGAACAACATATTTCCTTTTTTTGTGTTATTTGTTGTTCATCATTCAAACTGGTGAAGGGAAACTGAAGATTAGTCTATGAACTGAACCAACCTGCAAATGCAAAGAACATTCCTGCAGGTTTGAGAAGGTAGTCTCTTCCCTTGCCTGTCCCAGTGCAGGATCCCAGCAAACACAGAGATCCGAGGATCATGAAAGCCAGACTGAAAATGGAGATGGCTGCAGCAGAAATGTTGTACTCTGGAAAAGGGAGTACAAAAAGTGTCAAAAACAAAAATACACTCAAGAAATAAATACAAATCTTGTTTTCTTTAGTTTTGTTGCTCCTGTGCTAGATTTTCTGAAGAACAAGATAAAAAAAAGAAGTAAAGAAGGTGGTCTAATAAGTTTCATAACTTCAACTTTAAGGACTTTTTGAGGCTCGTAAAAAAAAGAAGCTTCAAAACCTTTTTCTTTTTATTCATCTGCATGGCCTAACCATTACCAGCATGTACCTTACCCTGACTTTAACCTAAACCCTAACCCACACCATAGTCCTTAACCCGCAGCCCAATAGAACTTCTCCTCATTGGGAGCAATCCTTGGTTCCTAGAAGCACCCATAAGGTCCCACAATTCTGGGAAGTTGATCCCACAGGGTAATAAATACACGGCCAGGATAGACAACCAGCCACAAACACTCATACCTACAGTAAGGGCAAGTTTTTAAAAATCAATTAATCCAACAATCATGCTTTTGGATTGTGGAAGGAATCCAGAGTACCCAGAGGAATCCCACCCATCCAGAGGGAGAACGTATATTTTATGGTTATTAAAAAGTATAAGCCTTATTTTAATTCAATTTATTTTTATAGCACCATTTCACAACAAATTCCACACAGGACTTTACAAAACCCTGCGATGGACTGGTGACCTCTCCAGGGTGGACCCCGCCTCTCGCCCGTAGACAGCTGGAGAAAGGCACCAGCGCCCCTCACCACCCAGCTTGGGATAAGCGTGATGGAAAACAGATGGATGGATTGAGGGACTTTACAAAACCAATTCAATCAAATCATACAGAGACACATTTTCTATTTAAGGAAACCCAGCAGACGACATTGACTCACTGATTTTGCAGGATTCACTCATATTGCACCAGAGAACCATCGCTTGCCTTCTGTCATTGACTTTCTAACAATCCCCCTTACTGACCATGCATGGTATTGTTTTGTCTGTTACTTAAGTAGTTATTAAAGCTAAACTATTTAAAGGTTTATTGGAGGATTTTCATGAATTTTTTAAAACAACTGCCCTCTCTAATAAAAAAAAAATAATAATAAAAAAATGCACATGCACAACCCTGTATCTGCTCCCGAGAGGGAACGCCTATTAAACATGTGCAACATGCCCGAGCCCGTTTCTGGTTGTGCACGCTCTGTTTAAAAGTTGCTGTTTGCATCACTCATACAAGCTTACTTTCCAAAAGAAGATTTTCAATTTTTCCACTATGTCAGACTCACCACCGGTAAGTGAAATGGGGACGAGCATGTGGGACAGCCTTACGTAAACATATCACCAGAATGATTGACTATTAGGGGGACCACTTATTTTGATGATCCACCCGGAAAATGAACATCCTCCACTATACCTTTAATTGAATTTATCATAATTGTATGGGGAAATGCATCCTGCGACTGTCTGTTTTTAATCTCCGGATAATTTTATTGATGTGAGCCCTTTTTTTTTTTAGTTTGAGCACCCGCCCCTAAAAATGTCGATGTAGGCACAACATAGAAGAAAAAATGACAAACACCGAGAGATTAGCATTTATGACATTTAGATATTTTCTCAACATGCTAATTATAACTTTTTTCATAATTTTCTTCAGTACTTATCAGTAGTATCTTAAAGCTAAACCTAACGCAACACTTCAGCTCTGCTTTCCATGACCAAATATCTGTACAGTCCTGAGATGGATGGAAGGTCAGTCCTGATGAGCCTCTAATTATTTGCACCTGTCCTGTTTATGGATCAACCAAGCTACAAAGAGACTGACGTTTACACAACAGGCTGGTTAATGGCAGTGAAGAAGATGACCAGCAGCCCCAGTACCAGGTTGTATTCCTTTAGTCACCACAGTCAGTAGTAGGGGTGAGTGTTAGCATGTGTCACGATACTTGGATCATGATATTATTACGATATTGCAATATCACCATATATTGTGTTATTTTTCATAGTTTAAAAATGAAATGTAATCATAAAAAAGCAGGTTCTGTATATGTTCATCAGGAAATGTTGATCTTTTATTTATTTTGGTATCAATGTTTTATCTGGTTTGAGTCAGTCCATGTCTTCCACTGTGACTGCCTCAACTACAGGAATGGTGATTCCAAAAAAGTGAAAAAAAAGCAATTCACTGGACTTTGTTTCCACGTTTCGCTTCCCCTCCAGGAAGCTTTTTCAATTCAACATTAAGAATCTTCTCCAGCATACACAAATGGTGCAGCTGAAAGGCTATTTGCCAGAGTGGTGATGCTGAGGTAGCACATTTTCCCTCATTGTTTTAGGTAAAAATGTTTTTGTTTTTTTAATCGATATTAGGAAATGAAAGATCAATATTATATCGGGCAGCGGAAAATCTCGTTATATCACCAAATCGATTTTTTCCCACACCCCTGGTCAGTCAGTATTCCTTAATGTTTTTAACTTCTGCTGAACATTCTCAGTGAATATGGTCCATGGTAGACATGGTGTAGTTGAGGATGTTGAGCGAAGGCAGCGTTCTTCACATCATTGAGAAGATGAAGCTGGTTCTGGTTTTAAATGCACCAGTGACCCAGCATGTTCACTCTTTGTACTGATGCAGAATCATCTGGTCCTGGATCAGATCAACGACAGGGAGGTGCTGGTGCTGATGGTTCTTGTGCAAGAGAAGATATCCTCAGTAAGGATGCTGGTGGTTCACAGACAGGGGATTCGGCTTCTGTAGTCGCAACAGATTGTGTCGTTCAGTTAGTCAGCACATTACCGCCTGGAATTACCAAAAAATGCTTTTCTGGCAACTCTTTCAACACCTGCCGATTGATTTTCTTTCTGTGGGCTTTGTTGACAATGAACCAAGAACTCATAGACTTTTACGTACCCCCAAATACCAATAATATGGATTTTTTCAAATGTCCAATATGAATATGCTTTAGTTTAATGCTTGTAGATTGCGTGCGTGTGATAGGAGCAGCAGCTGCTTTGTGTTTTGCTGTGGTGGTTATGATCTGAAGCTTTTGATCTGCCGCCTGCTTGCCTGGAAACCAGGCCGTTGGGGTGGCCCTCCTTTGGGGGGGTGAGAGCCTTCATCTTCTGCTGGCAGAGGAGGATGGGCCACAACCTAGGCACTCTGGGCTTTGAAGTGTTGCATGCTGAGCTAAGGCATGCACCTGCCATAAATTCCAGAAATGACTCTAAATTATTTTTGTATCCTATGTGAAGGCTATAGTTGTAAAAATAGTTTTATATGTGTGCCAACGGTTTCTAATCTTAGAAGCACTTAAACGTGTGACTCTTACAAAGTGGCTAACATCAATAGGAGTTTAAAATGTTGTGTCTATCTGTAGGTGTGCAATGGAGAAAATAAACATACACCTAACAAATAAGGACAGTAAAAAGGTTTTATGTTTTAATATCTTAAAGGCTGCTGATTTAATTTGCAATACTTTTTCCAATCCCCATCCCCTCCTTATAGGTTTCTCAGCTTCAAATTATATCAAACACATATCAATGCATCACCCAAAATAATACTAAATAGCACTTATAGACAAGGAAGAACACATTCTCTTAAAAACATCCTTTGTTTTCCTGTTGGGTGGGAGTTTGTGTTGGTCTGTCTGACGCACTAACCTCTTGCCATTTTATAAGCAACAAAATATGTTTGGTATCTGTGTGTGGACCTATTTAGTTTTCAAGCTTGCATTTGTTTTTCCCTTCGGGCCACTGAAAATGTCAGAAGGATAACTTACTTCCTGTATGTGTATCCTAATGCATGTTGTATACACAAGGTATCAAAAGGCAAAAACTTAGGTTTTAAATTCTTCCCAATTTGGGCAACATTTCCAGCAGCATTCCAGATGAATGCATCTGAATAAACACTTTTTATATGTATTGGATGATGAAATATATATATACATATATATATTGTTTTTTTCTCCAAATTATTTAAAGACCCTATTCTTACATTTATAATATCAACCCGAACAACATTTACTGTGCAAGTGAAACATTTAAAACTAAATGTAAAATCCGTAGTAAATTCATTTTTACTGTACCTATTTATCCTTATTCAACTTTCACACATTTAGTAACGTCACAACCACAAACTGTAATGTATTTTTTAATGTGACAGATTGATAACAGTGGTACATTATCATGAGGTGGAAGGAAAAGTTTACCTCGTTTTTAAATTTTCTGTATTGTCTGTATGCAAATTTGTCTCTGAAACTCTGATAACCCTAAAAAACATCAAGCCCATCCAAATGCAATTAAAAGCCAGCTAATATGTAGCAAATAAGTAAGAAAAAGACTTGATCATGTCCTGAGAATTTTAAAGTATCTTCAGATACTTTAAAAAGCAACACCCCAAGCTTTGTCATCTAGTACAGCTCAGTTCAGCATGTAGAAATGGAAAGAGTATGACACAATGGAAAGAGTATGGTACTAAAACATGGCTGTCAACCTGAAGTAACAAGCCATGCAAGAGAGTCATGAATCAGAACAGTTTACAAGTTAAATTGTTGAGGAATATGTTCAGACACACAGTTCATGTGGGGGAATCCCTCAATAGGAAACAGTTTGGTTTTGCACTCTTCAAATATGCCCTCATCACTACAAAAAAGCCACTAGAGGACCTGTCTGCACGCTCAAAGCAATAAGGAGACAAAAAAGCTGAGGAAAAAGGTTCCAAAACTTTTATTTTTTTGTCCAATTTGCAAATAACTATAGACTAGCTGTTAAGGGAAACAAACAAAGCAAATTACTGTGAACACACTTTTCCCATGGTGACGCAAGTTGGCAGGTAATGGATCATTCTCTTTTACAGCGACAAGGAAGGAGAGAAGACAAATGGAGCTAAACGCATGGTAGTTCTGAGAGAAAACCTGTTAGGCTGCAAAAGACTTAAGACTTAAATAAAAATGCATCGGGTTGTAGGACCGTAAACATACACCCTGAGCTGTTCCCATTTTATTATATTATTTTGCAAATATTTGGCAAAGA